CGCCAACAACGGCCCTCTCTTTGTCCGCTGCTTTGTCGATAATTGGGCATCCCAGTAGGGATACTTCCTCTGTAACTCGCTTCTCCAATCCATCACAAGTTAGTTCGTATTCCTTCTTACTTTCGTCGTACTTGAATTTCAGTTCAATCGTCTTTCCTCCTGAAAACGAGTACGCTGTAAGAGTTGACGCTTTGATTTCACTTCCTGGAACTTTGCTCTGTAGGAAAGCAAAGTTTTCACTACAACTCACGGAAAAAAACGCGAAACTGCCACAGGTCGTACCCATTAACTTTTGGAGACGGTATTTTGGTACATCCGTAGACTTTTTCGCAAAGCGATCCATTACCACTTTGTTGCAATCAGCATTGTCTACTACACCACGCCAAGTAACCAAGCGAACAGAGCTTCCCACTTCGACAGCACAAGCCATTCCTCTCGTTTGATAAACGTGTTCTTTCATCTCTCTGACGACGAAGATGGCCTTACGCCAATCTTTTGGTTTTTTGGAAGAGGACAATCCCCCCAGCAACTGCGATGATTTCACCCGATTTTCCGACATTTCCGCAATCTTTGCGAGGCTTGCGAGCAATCTTGGGCGCTTTTCTCGACCAATCTCGACCAATCTTTTTCCGGTTGCCTGGACGTCCCAGGCCTTCACGTCCCGAGTTTCGCGCGGAAATAAACAAAGGGGAAACAAATGGCCGCTCTTTGCCTCTTTTACTCGCGCGGTCAATCCGGTCATGCCCACGGAAGGATAACGGATATGGCTCCTAGTCCATCAGCTGAGGTGGTTGTATGGCTCACTTCAGGGGAACAAACGAAACTTGTATATTCTTTGTCTTTGACTATTAAGCGTCATAAAAATGCATGATAGCAAGGATAGAACGGTAGCTTTCACTTTGTAAATCGAATTTTAAATTTACCCCCAATACCCTCCTTTTGGTCGCCATCTTGGAATTCTAAACGTTATTTTCTTATATGTTTCTTTTCTTAGAAGTACACGATATTTTGCCTGGACGTATATTTGAAATAATTAGTATCTTAGATATCATTTCAGTATTTTCTGTAGTTGTTCAAGCTATGATGACGTCATAAATTACGTCACAATAGCCGCCATTTTGTTTTGAAGTTTATGTATTCAAACTCTACTCAACTATCTGAAATAACTAAATTACCAACAAGGTGCTCCACATCACAGTACTAGAAAAAACATTTTCTACGTTTAGTTAATTAAACACACTACGCCATGAACCAATATACCATAACTTAACGTAGATACATGTAACTAGGTCCACACTTCAGTCTAGAGCTCGTTCGAGTACAGAAACGCCAGGCTCGTATAACGCCCTTTGTCACTGCTGTCACTTGCATTTGGATCTTTAACTTCTCAAAGTCATAAACCATTCATCAAGCGTAAACACGGTAAATCATGACCGTGATGGTGTTTGGATATCTGATTGCTTTAGCAGATATTTCTACGATTTTATTTTTCTGTTTCTCCTTAGTTGTAGTTCCGATCGAGAAGTTATATCAAACACTCAAGACTCTGTTTGAGCACCTTTCCAGACACCTCAAAAATTGTCAAAAAATACTCCGCTATTAGCGTCGTTTTTCAACTGTCTTCTCTGTGGTGACGGCTCCTTTCCAGATTGCTGCTTGACAATTTGCTCTTGTAACGCGAAGTCAGAGAGATGATTGGCATGGCCGCAAAGTCTCTGGCTAGATTTTCCCGCCGGCGCAGTGGACTTCATAGCGCAGCGCATCCATACTCTGGCACTCCTTCTCGTAGAGCTGTCACATGAGTACCTCCTCCAGTATCTCTTCAGATACTGTTCACTCCTTCCCAATTCTCGCCATAGCTCATACGTACCTTTCACTGTATTGGAGAATTAATGCTTACCAGAGAGTATCACAGGCTGTGATCGTGTGTGCGCTAATAAGAACTTTCATGAAGTAGTCCTTGTCAATGCCTTGGTCAAGTTACTTCTCCAAGCTGTTAATAACTAAAGAAATTTTATCATTCCGGTCTTTCCACCTCTTCCATTCTTCATGTAGCACATTCGAAGGTTTGTGCCCTATCTGAGGAACTTGCTCGCATGTGGCTGCGTCTTAATCTCTAGCACTGATCTTCGGTTGTCTCATACATGATCCGGTAACTGAGCCTGCCTCAGAATGCTTCTGTCTTCCACTGTGACACCAGGGAATTGGTGATATCAGGCTTGTTTGCGACGACACTGAAGAGCTTGTTCCCTGGCTTTTCAGTATAGGCAGGAAATATGTTCTTGTACTGTTCACTGTTAGAGGTAGACCCTCTTTAAAATCTTTCGACATTCTCGATCGATGCCTCGTGATACATGCCGAACACTACGTCCACGTGCCTGTTGCCGGTGCTTATTACCAACTCAAACACTCTTAGCGACCACATGAGACATACCTCCAGAGGGCCGGGATATTCAACTTCTGCAAGACCACCATTCCAGGTATACTGAAAAATACTGGTTGCGTTCTCTGGGTATTTCTCGGTGACTGTGATGCGTCACTCTAGCTGTTGGGAGAGTTTGGCTTTGCGCAGTTGTTTTTCACGGGGGTCCACAAGGACCGGCAAGAGTCCAAGGGATGGACAAAACTATCCGACAAGTGCCATCAGAGCAAATACATCACGATCCGTACGAGGAGGAAGTACCACATCCTAGTTGCGAACCTTACGCACAGCCTACAGATCCTTAAAAGACTTCAGCTTGGCTTTCTTCAAAGGATATAAGTAATCTGAAGTGGGATTAGATGAGCAACGGTCGTCACAGTCATTCACTGCATCCTTTACCTTGCTCTTGGCCTGTAATAAGTCATCACTTACTTCTGTTGTCACTTTGATACCCCGGTGTGGACAAGCTTGTTAATGCTGCATCTTGTCTCCATGGCCAGGTGATAACATCCTTGAGCTGATCCACCAGCTTTCCTGCAGCTCTGATGTCTTCTTTGATGCTACTGGAGCCAACTCCTTATGGATGTAGGTCTGTGATGAAGTAATAGCTAACTACTCGTGAAGAAGCTTTCTAAGCTAACTCCCGCTAGAACCCTCACAACCGCATACAATGGATTCATCCACCATTGATCAGATCATGGTGCAGAGGAAACTCTTTTGCACTTTTGTTTGTGACACCGCATGTTTGGATGCAGGAAACAGGCAAATGATTTTGAGGGCTTTGTTTCAACAAACTTGCAATTTATACATATATTTTATCTACTTGCCCTCTTTTCATGAAATAATTTTGAGAACCGTACCCCACAATGTTTTTGCAATGATCATAAGTGCAAAATGATCATATTGTGACCAATAATCAGGCGTTATGACGTCACTTATGACGTCATGTACTGATAATTCAAGCACTAGAACAAATGGACATCATGTTTGTAATTCCGATACGTTTAGAATTTGCATTTGAAACACATTAAAGAAATACAGACTACTTTGGAGCCTTCCCCAAAAATCCAAGATGGCGGCAAAAGAAGAGTATGTAAGGGAAAATTTAAAATTCGATTTACAAAGTGAAAGCTACCATTCTTTCCTTGCTATCATACATTTGTAGGATGCTTAATAGTCGAAGATTAAGATAAGACATGTTTCGGCTGTTCCTCTCAAGTGAGCCATGAACCCAAATTTTCGGCTCTCAGCTGATGGACTATCCATCCCACCTTCAAAACAAGTTTACGCTTTCCTTTGGAGCACTGATATCGAGAAGCTTAAGGATAAGCCATGTTGAGTAATTTTCTGATTTTCCAGAATTTTAGGCCAACCTCGCGAGGTACACCCAAAATTTGGAATGAAAGTCCGGAAAATTTCTGTTTCATTCCCTCCCACACCCGGAATTTCCGGAATATTTGGTCGAATGGAAAGCGTCCCTGGAGGGTAGAGTAAAGCGGACTACAAAATAAACGGCACGCAATGCATGCAGAAGCGATGACGTTTAAAAATTGTTCCTAGAAGATTGGAACATAAGCAGACAAACTGATTCTTAGACTAAACTGTAGAACTTTTGTGTTAGAAATTTTAGGGGTTTACATTGAGCGTAGTCCATTGGTAGTTCATGTACCAGGTCCATCGTGTCAGTCCATGTGCTAGGGGTCAGCGAAATGTACCAACCCAAAAGAAAGATTAATAACTAAATTTTCCAATACATATAAATAAAGGAATTTCTGTTACAGTGTATTTTTCAAATTTCTTACATTAACTATTGTTTTTGTTTCAGCGAGGATCTTTAAAGATATTTGGCAAGGCTAATTACCTCACCAGAAATTAATTTGTTGTTTTAACCATATACTTGTCATATCGCGTGTGCGACCCGCTTGTCTATCTAAAATTGTATGTATCAAAAATATGTTATTATGAGTTTGTCCGTGAGCGCAAATTTATCCGACACTGTATAAACCAAAATCTACCCCCAAATCTTCGTTTAAAAGCTGAAATTAAAAGTACTCCGCTGATCCTACAAACAGCAAAGGAAAGCTGCAAAGTACAAGTTTCTCTCTCTGAAATCGACACCTTATTATCTTTAAAGATATTTGGCAACGCTAATTACCTCACCAAAAATTAATTTGTTGTTTTAACCACATACTTATCATCAATGAACATTCATATTGTCTTTACCCTGACAAAATGATTATCGATTATTTAATCACAACCACTCTTTCGTTGAAAGAAAATATAAAACAGCACATTTCCAAAACTTCACAAAACACTAAGAACTGCAAATAAATCATACCCTGACTTCATTATCACTACTGTAAACCGTATATTTCAGTGCTCATACAATGCTCATACAGTGTTCTCACAGTGCTCATTCAATTCAGACAAT